GCTATTGTTCTTGTCCGTCTGCTGGTCTTGTTGTTGTTGTTGTTGCTGAGGCTGTTGTTGTTGTCGCGGTTGTAGTGTTTGTTGCTTTTGCTGTTGTTGCTGTTGCCGTGGTTGTTGTTGGTGTTGTTGTGATTGTCGCTGTTGTCGCCGTTCTCGCTGCTGCAGTTGTTCATGGATATCCCGCATTTGCTTCATGGAAATCCTGCGTGCTAGTCAGTTCTTAGTTGTTTTTAGCGTTGTTGTTGACGGCAAACACAAGAAGCCGGCGGGGCCACTGCATTTGCCTGCACCCTCTGGCGGGGACAAGAAGGGTACTAGGTTGACAGGCTCCCTGTTTGTTGCCGGCTTTCTTCAGATATGGTAAAGCGCGGGCAACCATCTTTTCTTGGGGGTCATGAGACAGGCCTTCTGAGCGCAAACGCCCTCACCCTCAGTTGCCCCCCAGCCATGTAAAGAAAGTCGCCCTGAAAAAAAACGACTGAGCTTCCCAACCGGGCCCGCTGGTGCGTAACATGCGCACAGTTGAAGAAGGGCCCGAAGGGCTCCTTCTTGCTGCTGTGCGGTTCCTTCTTGCTGCTGGTTTGTGGTCCCCTGCCTGGTCCCTGCGTGGTGGGTTGCTCTTGTTTGTACAGGGATGTAAAGACTAAGGAAAGAATAATGTGTGTACGGGGTCCCTGTTTTTGTTTGTACGTGGTTGTTCTTCTTGTTGTGGTTGTCGTTGTGGTATTGGTTGTGGTTGTGGTTGTTGTTGCTGTTGCTGTTGCTGTTGCTGTTGCTGTCGCTGTTGCTGTCGCTGTTTCTGTTGCTGTTGCTGTTGCTGCTGCTGCTGCTGTCGTTGGTGTTGGTGTTGGTGTTGGTGTTGGTGTTGGTGTTGGTGTTGTTCTTGTTCTTGTTCTTGTTCCTGTTCTTGTTCTTGTTCTTGTTCTTGTTCTTGTTCTTGCTCTTGCTCTTGCTCTTGGGCTTGGGCTTGGGCTTGCGCTTGCGCTTGCGCTTGCGCATGCGCTTGTTGTTGTTGTTGTTGTTGTTGTTGTTGTTGTTGTTGTTGTTGTTGTTGTTGTTGTTGTTGTTGTTGTTGTTGTTGCTGTTGTTGTTGTTGTTGTTGTTGTTGTTGTTGTTGTTGTTGTTGTTCCCGAAGCGAGATAACGCCGCGCTCTGCATCGTCACAAAACACTGCAAATCGCAGTGTTTTCAGCTTCGCACGCAAGAAACACTGGTATTTGCGGCGTTCTGGCGCCTTCCCATCCTCCCGTGCAGCACGCGCTGAAAACACCGCAAATACCAGCACGTTCTTGTCCCGAGCGCGGAAAACATCGCAAATACCAGCGTTTTGGTAAGAGCACCCGTTATTTTCTTGTCCCGAGCCAATGGTAAGGACACCTGTTCATGTGCGCTCGCTCAGCTCTGTATCCATGCTAGCCAAATGGTAAGAAATGGTAAGAACATCCGTTCAAGTGCACTCGCTCGGCACTGTATTGATGTTAGCCAAATGGTAAGAACACCCGTTCAAGTGCACTCGCTCAGCACTGTATCCATGCCAGCCAACTGGTCAGACCACCCGTGCAAGTGCACTCGCTCAGCACTGCATCCATGCCAGCCAAATGGTAAGAACACCCGTTCAA